TATATTAAGAGTGTCAAGATGGACGATCACTTTTTCAATTTGACTGACATCTCAGAACTTTGTAGGACTCTTATTCGAACAAAGAAGCATAAGAAATTTAGGTTTGTTTAATATAATCAATGATATAAATATCATAAAACGTTTCCAAGAAATGAACAAGAGAAGAATGCATTAACGATTAAATTATAATTTTTTTATTTTTGAATTGTAATTGAAATACTAATATATTTGTATTAAATAATATTATCATATTTTTTGTCTTTTATTTTTTCATATATTTTTTTACGTATTTTACTTTTATTATGAGAATCTCCTAGATTTTGATCCTAGCTCCGCCCTCGATCCCGCACCACCATCCTGCATCAGTTGACCTCTGTCACATTCGTGTGCCACCGCTGCTGACTTTCCAACTTCGCTGCCGATTTGGTTTATGAGATTTTATACATTATTTTCTAATGGTTTTAATGCGAGATGTTTTCTTGATACATATGATATAATGTGAAACAAGATGGCTTGGTAATTTGAACTAATTAGAAGTTTGATGAATTAATCATTTAATTTGAGGGATCTCTGTTATTTAAAAGTTTTTATTTATTTAGTGGTCTAATCTATACAATATAATAAAAGGAAATGAAGAAGTGATATAATGTAACATGGATCATCACTAATATCTATCTAGCAAGCGCAATTAATTTTTCGACAGTTGACAAAATTTGAAATTGGAGAACCTTTCAGCTGAGTTGGGGTTAGTTTAGGGATAATGATTTCTTTCGGCTCACAAATTGCTGAAGATAGCTCACACTCACATGTGTTATTCAACAGGTAAAAGTATACAAAGGAGTTGGTAAGAGATCAAACTTCAGTCGAACGCACTTCGACCGATTCTCTCCACCAGACTTTTACACAAAGGTCAGTAATTACTCAGTTGCATAATTCTTCACATATACACTGAGATTTGATTGTTTAGACAGGTTTGTATTGTAGAAGTGGAATTTGATAGTGTGAAGAAGAAAACAAGTGTAAAGATAGATAATTGTTATCCTGTTTGATATCTTGTATTTTGATTTTAAATTCTAGTTGCCCGAAGAGATTGCATTGCCTTTTCTGTTTAATATGTGGAGGTTAGTGAAGTGATTAATTACTTATGTGTTGGTGTTTGTCACAGTTAAGTTGACAAATTTAATTTAACTTTTATTCTGTCCAAAATGTAAAAACAATAGTTCTCAGTTTTGTTTCTATACTCGCCTTTTGAATAATCGATCAGCTGCAAATTTATCACAAAGCTTTTGCATTGTATACTGCAGCAGCTGGAATAAGTGGTTGTCATGCCCAACTAGCACCGATTATTATATTTCCGTGTCAAATTCATTTTTTTAGATATTTCGTTTATTATATTTATCTTATCTTTCCGTGTCAAATTCATAAGAGTTGCTTATTTATTTGAAAACTTGGTACATAATTTTCAGATCTCAATCCAGAAGTGTGACGGAGACAGCAGATTATGAGTATGTCATTCTGCATGCCAATCGTATAATCTAGCGTGTGGGGTTTCATTGGACTGCAGGGACCAAACTCCTTTCAGCAAGGAGGAGGGGGAGGGTCAGTGCACCGGTTCTGGTGAGATGAAATTGCCATGGTTTAATCGATTGAGAAGTCGGTTTTCTTTGAGAAATAGTTTCTTAAATGAAATATTTGTAAGAAACAGGCAGCTTTAGCTTCAATTTTTTGTCTCTTATTTAAGAAGGTTTCTAACTTAGAGGTTAAAGTAGGAGACCATATTATCTCTCAAGTCACGGTTTAAATATTTTGGATTCATAATACATAATGATGGAGAAATAGAAGGGGATGTAAATCATCGTATTTAAGCTGGATGGATGAAATGGAGAAAGGCATCCGTTGTTTTATGTGATGCAAATGTATTGCTCAAGTTAAAGAAATTTTTTTATCGGACTACGGTAAGACCTGCAATTTTGTACGAACCATAATGTTAGGCAGTTAAAAACCAACACGAGAATAAAGTAGGTGTAGCGGAAATGAGGATGTTGCAGTGGATGTGTGGTAAGACTCGACAAGATAAAATTAGAAATAAAATTATTAGAGAGTGTTGCAATAGCGCCTACCGTAGAGAAGATGGTGGAAAATAGACTTAGGTGATTTGGACATGTAGAGAGAAAATCTGGAGACTCTGTAGTAAGGAGAGTAGACCCGATGGAGAGAAGACAAACAAATCGAGGAAGAGGAAGACCCAAAAAGACTATAAGAGAAGTTATTAAGAAGAATCTCAAAATTAATGATTTGGATAAAAATATGATCTTTGATAGAATATTATGGTAAAAGTTGATCCATATAGTCGATTTTACCTAATAGAATAAGGCATACTAATTGTTGTTGTATTTAGCAAAGAGGATTGGGTTGTAATGTTCAGAATAATTATAGGGAGGAAGTTGATGGCATCATCAATCTTAGATTTAGGGATTGCTCATTCATCCAAAATTTGGTAGCAAAAATTGGGATGAGGAGGTTATATATTTGGCTTTCAAAGAGGTTATAGAGAAAAGTATGAGTATTTGGAAGTTGGTGGTAAATTAGGGGAAGGAAGGAAAAAAGTAAAGAAAAGTGGAAAGAAATATTTCTATGCTTCATTCCTTTAATTATATATATTTATTGACATTTTTCTTACTTTTCTTCTGTTCGATGTTTTGTTTTATTTATATTTTTTTTTATGTTTAGATCTGTTTTTATTTTGGAAAGGGCTTTTTATAAAAACAGATGAATTGTTGGTTTATAATTTTATAAAAAACGCTCAAAATAGAGAATATTATTGTGCTGTTTAATCCCGTTTAACAAGAATTGAAATTAAAATCTTACTCTTTTGAATTTTATTAGATATTTGAAGAGGAAGAGTTTACAAAAATTATAAGATATGTATTCTTTCAGTAGCATTCATATTTCAGTAACATTATTTAGTAAACACACGGGAACATTATAACGACAAGAGAACTCAACAAATCAAGCCGCTCAACACAAACCTGCGTGGTATTGTGATTCTTTTTCTAAAAAAATTAAACATGCAAAGAAAGACAATTATGTTATGGTTAAGATAGGCATGGCAATAAGGCGGTTCGAAGACCGTTTTTACCTCCTACAAATTCAAATCTGAATCTTTAATCTGTTCCCCGCCTTAAATCCAAACGGAAATGGAGAATTAAAACTTAAATTCGTTCCAAACGGATTTGGGTATCCCCATTCCGTCACCATCTATTTAGTAAAATCAATTTTTTAAATAAAAATATTTATTTTTTTCCAAAATCAAATTAAATTATAAATGATAAAATAAAATAATCTCAAAAAATTTCATATATATATTTTAAATATTTTAAATAATAAATACAAATCAAATTATCAAAATATTTGTCACATATTTAATATTCTAAATTATCAAAAATAAATAATAATGTATATAATGAAATAAACGGGACGGATTCGGATGCGGGTTCGAAGTAGATATTAGTGTCTCCATTATCCGATCCGTCTCCATATTTTGTAATTGGGGAAAACCCAAACCCGAAATCAAACTTAGTCAAAGCGGATTTTCCTCTTTAATTTTGAGGCGGGTTCGGATGAGTGTCCATGAATATGAGTTTTGCTGTCTTGCCTTAAGTTAAGGTCATAATGAACTCTAGATATTTATTAGCTAGAACACTCACATACAATATAAACAAAGATAATTTTAAAATTTAATTAAAAAAAAGTTAATTTAAAAAGTTAATTTTTTTAATTCAAAAGTTTTGTATTCGAAGCCAACACTATTAATAGAGATTAAAAATATTAATAAATTTTAGATTTTAATTAATTTATCATTCTTTCGTATTTTGTTTTTAAACATGAATTTGAGACAGGTGACATGGAGGCTCAAGAGTATGTAAAATCCATGATTTTAACGTTATAGAAGAAGATGAATAAAGAAACTCATACTTCATCTTTCTCTCGGAGTTTCCTAGATAATTCAATAAACTTTGCTAGAATGTCATTATTCATCTACCATCTTGGAGATGCACATACTGTTCAATATTCTAACATTAAGAACCGTGTAATATCATAGAATTAAGCAGTGATGAGTTTGGATCAGAGAATTGGATTTAGCAGGATGTAAGAGGAAAAAAAAAAGAAGAGCAATGGAATTTATATCATATCTCCAACATGTTCTCCCTTTCTTTTAGCATTTGTACTTCACATTCCATGAAATGGATTCAATCCATTATTTATTTGTGATATATAAAAATTGTATTATGACATTGTCACTGTTTCTTGAAATCAATATACTGTTATCAGATCATCCATTAGTTTTCCAAGAGTTGATAAATAAATCATTTTTGAACAAAACCTTAGCTATGAAACATGTCATTTTTGCATTAGCTATGTAAGTTTATTCAGATGTGATGTTTGAGTAAAAGTAGATAACAGTATCTTTGAAGGTTAGTTTTAGTTGCTTATAATCTCAAATTAAATATGTTGAATTTGTGAGAGAGTGCATAGTAACAAATACATGATATCATTATTTTGATTATCTTTTATATAAATATGTTTTTTTATTGACAAACAAAAATATTTTTTTTAACATAAGAAATTTTATCTCGTGCCACGTACTGATATATATTCTAATTAGTCAAATTTTAATAAAAAGTTAACATGTTCAAACTAGCGTCTACAATTGAATGATGTTTCACATTCATTTAAGTTAACTTAACATGACTTGTGTTATTTGAAAGTTTATTTAAGAAATATAAAAAGGAAAGAAAAAGAAAAGCAGTTCCTTAGGCTGGCACACAAAAGCAACCTCACTGGCCACTACAATATAACATAACATAACATACCTTTCTTCTCATGTAAACCTGTCTTTTTTCTCACCACGTTTAGCATATCCTTTTACCTCCTTAACGACCAAGCAATTCATCATCTACTTATTACCAAACTTCACAACAAAAGCTAGAAATTAAATCATGGGAGCTGATTGGGGACCAGTAATTGTTGCTGTTGCCTTGTTCATTGTTTTGTCACCAGGCTTGCTCTTCCAGTTTCCAGCAAGGAGTAGAGTTGTTGAATTTGGTAACATGAGTACTAGTGGAATTTCTATTCTCATTCATGCTATTATATATTTTTGTATACTTACTATCTTAATTGTTGCAATTGGTATTCATGTACACTTTAACTGATTACTTATTTTCATCCAAAGAAGAAAAAAAATATGGAGTAAATTTTGTTTGTTAGATATCACAAACATGCCTTAAGTATGTTTGTCTTTACATTTTTTTTGTGTTTTTGTTTTCCTTTTATGTTTCTTTTACATCGGTTTCTTCAACGATGATGTAACAATGTTGATTTATGGTTGAAAATGAAAACGGATATGTAACTACAGGAATTATATATATTTTGTTATTATAATTTTTTGTTTTTTATTTTGTCTTAACTTTCTATTTCTTACGAGAATGAGTCCATATTAATTTGTAATATAATGTGAGGTAAATAAAATATGGAAAGTTAGAAAGAGTAAAGTGGTTGATAAAATAATTAATAGGAGAGGATACGAATATGCAGCTATGTCTTGGTGTAAACCACTACGTAGAGATTACAAAAGAAAACTTCTAACTTTCCATAGTGAGTCAGCATGTTTTCTCTTTTGGTCAAAATGAGAGAGCAATAGCTTTCTTGCTCTTTAAGAAATAAGAGGGAGAAAAAAAGAATGAGAATTAAATTGGAAATTATATTCAATTATGCTTGGTTGTTCATAGATCACTTATGATTATACTGCTAATAATATACTATACTTTTTTAATTGTTGAACTTTTGAAATTTGTTAATTGAACATCTTTTACACCAATTGTAGTTATATTTTGCCCATTACTCTCTTCAAATTTGATGGCACGCTCACAATTTAATGCATTTAATGACCTACGGGCAATCTTCTCTCACAATTCATAAGCATTAAAAATTAATGTAATTTTTCAAAATGACTCGGTGAAAATCAAAACTTAGTTTTAAAAGAGAATTCAACTCTTATATGTTGATCTCAATTGGTAGTTATATAGAGATATTAGATGTATAGACCTGAATTTGAATTCGTGATAATTTATTTATTCACTTTTAAAAGGATAAATTTCAGTCAATAAATTTGAAGGTGGATTACGACAAAGCTTATGACAATATTAGTTGAAATTATTTGAGATTTTTGTTCAATAAGTTCAGATTTAGAGCTAAGTGGATTAGGTGGATGGAGGCTTGTGTGTTTACTGGTTCAATGTCGGGGCTTGTGAACGGTAGTACAATGGAGGATTTTAAAGTGGATAGAGGATTGTGTCAAGGAGATCCCCTATCTCCATTCTTGTTTGTCATCCTGATGGAAGGCCTAACTAGGCTCATGGAGAAAGTTGTGGAAGTTGGAGAGTTTAGGGGTTTTCAATTTGGTGTTCAGGGCTCGGAGGATATTCTCCAGTTTGCTGATGACACGATCATCTTTGGCGGTGGAAGCATCAATAATTTATGGAGTGTGAAGGCCATTCTAAGAGGCTTTTAGCTTATGCCAGGTTTGGAAGTCTAATTCTTTAAAAGTAACATTTACGACATCAACACTTGTGATTGGAGTTTAAATGTTGTGTCATCTTTCTTAGCTTGTGGTATCAGTTCTCTGCCTTTTAAAACTTTGGGGGTTATGGTTGGAGACAGTCCTAGAAAGGAGTTAATGTGGAAGGATCTGGTTAGGAATTTGAGGAATCGACTCTCTAAGTGGAGTGGGAGGTTTCTCTCTTTAGGGGGAGAGTGGTTCTGATTAATTCGGTTCTTAGTTCCATTCCTATTTATACGTTGTCGTTCTATAAAGCTCCGGCGAAGGTGGTTCAAGAAATTGGGAGGATTCAAAGTAGGTTCTTATGGAGAAGGGTTGAGAGTAAAAGATGTATCCATTAGGTTAGTTGGAGTATTGTTTGTAAATAGAAGAAATTGTGTGTGTGTGTGTGTGTGTGGGGGGGGGGGGGGGGTTCTACGTATTAAGGATATTGAAAGCATGAACAAATTTCTTTTGTTAAAATGAAAGTGGAGGATCATTATTGAGGGGAATACTTTATTGATAGATTTGTTAAATTGTAGGTACAATAACCCGACTACTAAGATGTTTATTGGTGACAAAAGGGGACTCAATTTGGTGGAGGGATTTAATATTGGTGGACTCTTTTGATGGTTCAAATAACTCTTTTTTCTCTTATATGACTTTATGCAGGGTTAGAAATGGGAGAAATACTTCCTTTTGGTTTCACAAGTGGCTTAGAAATCAATCTTTGAAGGATGCGTTCTCAGAGTTTTTTGCGATAGCAGCGTCTCCTTTCATAAGTGTTGCCGATGCTGGGGTTGGGAGGAGGGTCTTTGGAGCTGGAACTTTAATTCTTTGTTGGTAAATTTGAATGACATTGATAATTTTTTTGTGGCTGAGTTTCGGGACCTGTTGTCAAACTTCGATATTATGCAGGAGGAAGTGGACTTGTTCGTGTGGTATAGTGAGAAAGAGGAAGAGTTTACAATCAACTCTTGCGTTGCTACTTTTAATAACAGTTGTGGAGAAGAGGTGGTGTCGGGTGGAGTGCGTGATGCTCTTTCCTTCCTTTGGGATATGAAGGTTTAGTCTAATGTTAAATTGTTCGGTTGGAGATTTTTGTTGGAGAGACTTCCAACTAGAGACCTTATGGTGAACGATCAGAAGAAGTGTTGTGTTTTCTGTTTTAGGGAAGATGAATACATTCCACATTTGTTTGACGATTGCATTGTGTCTAGAAGGATTTGAGAAAAGGTTGGTTGTTAGCTTGGTGTATCGTTGGCTCCCACTAATGAGGAATTAGGGTCTTTCCTTTTCTCATATCATAAGGTCAAGGATAAAGATGAAATATTAACAGTTTGGGTGGTTTGGTTGGCGTTCGTGTGGAATTTATGGCTGATGCAGAATGCTATTATGATTAACGCTAATGTTTTTCAGCTTCGATGATTATACCTCAACTATAATTTTTGTTTCTTGGAAGTGGTTTAGTATTGTTAATATTTCCTCTTTTTCCTGTAAATTCAATATTTGGAATATTTTGCCCTTATGTTATTTGACTAGGTGAGGGTAGTGTTTGTTGTTAGCTCCGAATCAGAGTACTTCTTATAATCGATCTTGTGATCTTTTAATAATATAATTGTTTATTGAAATATATATATATATATATATATATATATATATATATATATATATATATATATATATATATATATATATATATATATATATATATATATATATATATATATATATATATATATATATATATATATATATATATATATATATATATATATATATATATATATATATATATATATATATATATATATATATATATATATATATATATATATATATATATATATATATATATATATATATATATATATATATATATATATATATATATATATATATATATATATATATATATATATATATATATATAATCTTACTGGTTGATCAAAACCTGAAAATATGTTGAAAGATGAAGTCTTCTAGCTTGGAAATTTGAGGAGAGGAGGGGAATGTACCTGCAAGGCACTCCGATGATCAAGTAAGAATGGGTGCAAAGAAATACAAGAAAGAAATTAGGGTTTTTAGTATGAATATTTGATACCTGACCCTCATAAGTGTGAGTGTTTATATAATACCCTCGATGCTTGGCCATTGGTTCCTATTTTTGGGACTAGATATTAGGTTCCTCAAAAATAGGTAATTGCCAAGACTTAGTCAAAACAAACAGTCAAGTCCGTAACTAGCCGTTTCTCCGAGCAAGGTAGAGATTACGGGATGATCCGTCATGGACGTTTCCTGGTTATCTACTCCACATGTGTCGAGCAAACCTGGAGGTAGTTGCCGATTCAGACAGGCGCATGGCTCAGGGCGTCGTTGGTCTTTCCGTTCATGGGGTGCGGTCGACCAAGTGTTCTTGACTGAAGGGCCAAAGCTAGTGGGCCAAAGTTGTTGGGCCATATGGAAGGTAGAAGCATATTGGGCCATGCCTAGCTATTGGGTCAGTCCAAAATAAGAGCCCCCTAAGTCGTTGCTCCTAGGCGTATGAGTGTTGACTTAGAGTCAGTCTGCATGTCGAGGAGGTGGAAGTTCTTTTTGGTGCTCATCCTGGGAGACGGGGATAATTCGGGATGCATTTGGAGATAACTATGTTGAGGGAAACTAACATGGTCCCTTGTGTTCGGCGCATGAGGAGCCGAATGTTTGGTTGGACTCTGAGAGATAGCGTGTCATGCTTTCATCGAGCCATATGATGTCATAAATGCATAATAATGACAAGTCTAGGGACTAGGGCATAATGATGATGGCCCCTAGGTTTCCCCAGGCGTGTGCCCGCTCATGTGCTAGCAAAGGTTTCTATAAATGGGAGAGAGGAAGCTTCATTTTCACTTTTTGCTTGCTTTCTTCTACCCGTTTCTGTTAGTTCTGTAAAGCACCACCGTTCACCGCTAAATTTTCTGCTCGTTCCGCCGTTAATCCTCCCCGAACAAGTAAGTTTCTTGATTTTCCCTTGTTTCTGTGAATTTCATCTCTGTTATAGGTTAGAGTTCTGGGCATTTTGCTTTTAGAGATGCATGCAGTTAGGATTAAAGCATCTTAGTGAGGAAATTTCTAGTGGTTTGTTGGTGTCTCACGGTGGTTCTACAACATGAGGATGCCGGCTCTGCCGTGAATCCGTTTGGAAATATCTGGCGCTAGGATTGGTAATGGCGATTTTTGATGAGTTTTCCGAAGAAGTTGGTCAGTTTTTGGGCTTCTGTAATGTTCCTCATGTGTTTCTGATGAATCCTCGAGTTATTAAAACCCAACCGTCAGGGAGATTACTCCTTGCGTGGGTTAGGGTTTAGCCTGGCGGGAAGGCGTCTAACGCGTTAGAGGGAATCATCCTTGCGTATGTTTTTTTATTTTAAGTGAGGGCTCTGGTTAGGGACAGGGTTCTCGTTACTCTGCATGCCTTTTCACTTGATTAGCGGTGAAAGGATGGATTTGATTTGATGTCGAATTCACTTTTGTCCTCTGCTATTAAGGTAAAATTGCTAGTATCACCGAAGATGAAGTTATGAGTAAGTTATATGAGAATATGTGAATGAATAAGAACCATGAGATTTAAAAGGA